TTTTTTGCCTCATGCAACCTTTTCTCACGTATCAAACATGTTTGATCGGTGAGCTATCGGCTGAGCTAACAGGCACGAGTAACTTTTTGCTCAGCAGATAGCTCTCGTGTGCGGCAGGCTTAATGAGGACACGACTACAATAGATACTGCCTTATTAGTATTCATTGTATAAAAAATACTAATTAGGAGTGTTTTATCAGGTTTAAAGCCACTGCATGGACGTGACAAAATATGGTTGACATGATTTGCCAATAAGCTTATATGCATGAATTATTAATGAGTGTTTGAACTTTTATAGAAGATGATCAAGAAATGCTAAAAAGGTTTCAATGTCTGACCTTGGACGGCATAAGAAAAAGAGTTTATCAGTTGAAGGACATGACCACGAAATTTGCCAAAAAAGTCTTTCCAGGTTGGTAAATACTGTACTTATAGCAGCAAACCTCGAAACACTACAATATAGTAAAAGTTATGAAACCACTCTAGCTTGCTCGCCTAAGGCTAAGGTATTTAAATTAAATGCACGTTAAATGTTTGGTAAAGTGAGTTTATACTAATTGCAGTAAGTTTAAAAAGACCAGGAACTTTTAGTAAATTTTGTGCCTTGCAATGGCCTGTTTCTAAAACTTTCATAAGTTATTTGAAAAACTGTAGCTGATCAACTAGATATAAAACTATGCCTCAACAATTTTTATAACTTTACGAAAGCATGCATGATAGTAGATTATCGAACAAAATAATTTTAATTTTTTTACATTGCGTTGGTTCAATATCACACCGCGGTCACAAGTTTAATTTATCTTCTATCTGCGTTTTAGTTAAAAGAAGCTTGAAATTCGTTCCCGAAGATTTTGCTGAACGATTCGGCGTATGGAGAAAATACTCCAGCGAAGTTACTCTGACAAGAAAGGCTTTGCAATGTTTGATAAATCATGGTCTGGAAATGTTGACATTGCCATTGGTCCTGCTCCAGCTGAAGTTATGTGTGACATATTTGTCATGAGTCGTACCGGCATGCCTCGAATGATAACCCTAGCTAGAGAATTTTCGGAAAAGGTGAAGAAGTACAACCTTAATCTTGCGAAGAAGTTGAAGTTCGCTCTTGTCAGCAAAGGCGGTTGTCTTGAATGTTTTGGTGTTGATGCTCAGGTCATTCTATTGAATGATATCAACGACGAAATGAAACTTCCTCCTCCCAATGTTAGTTATCCTCCTGCGTATAATATGACACCGCAGCGATTTACCAAAATTCGAGAGGCCCTCGTTGTAGTCCTTGCCGCCTTTGAATCCTCTTCCTTTAACCCAACTGTTGGTGTTAGTTTTCTGTATGTCCTAACCCCGGAACAATACGACATCAGTATAAGGGAAGATCCATTCGTTGTTGTATCGGCACCACCTGGCACTGGAAAAACTGTCGTTGCCATGGAAAGGATCAAACGATTGCGAACAAAAGGTGTTTCCAAAAATGAAATCCTGTACATTTGTGAAAATAAATCATTGGCTTCTTTTGTCTGGTAGGTAATTTTTCTAGCTTCTTTTTATTACGTCTTTGTCATTTTTCTCTCAACTGGGCTTCACGACAACGAAAGTCCGAATTGCTCACTTACTTGAATCATGCATGTTTATTACATTATTTCTGTGTATGATATTGATGGTTGCAATGTTGACATTATTGACACTAGCACACACGTGACTAGAAAGTTAGTTAAGTATTTTAGAAGCACGAGGCTAGGGAACCAGGAAGTAATTGGATACGTACTATGCTGATTGTACAAGTTGTTTGATATCTATTGTTATACTTAAAAGTGCTTGATATTGATACAAAACCACGAACATTACATTGGCGACGAGGTAAACAAACAAACAAAAAAAAAACAGCTATCGTTTATCAATACAAACGATTTTGAAATCTCTAGTTTACGAATACAGTCATGGCGACTGGCCGAATCAATGTAGCGCCAATGGCGCCATTTGATCCTATGTCCGATCCAAACTCTCTCAGTCAGCGCTGGAAAAAGTGGAAACGACGATTTGAAACATATCTTGTTGCTCTGAATGTGACTGAAAAGAAACAAAAGCGGGCTCTCTTGTTGTACCAAGCTGGCCAAGAGACTCAGGATATTTTTTATACCCTTGTTGACATCGGCGAAGACGACGACTATGATTCCGCTATCGCTGCCCTCGATACGTATTTTTCACCTAAAAAACATGTCGATTTTGAAATTTTTAAGTTTCGTGAAGCCAAACAACAACCACATGAAACAATCGATCAGTTTTCAACTCGTCTTAGGAAGCTGGCGGCAACCTGTGACTTCGAAAATATCGACAAGGAGGTAAAATCGGCCATAATTCAAAACTGTTTATCGAAACGTCTACGACGCTACGCCCTGCTTGACTCGGAAGTTACGCTAGCCAAGATTCTCGCAAAAGGCAGAGCTTTTGAACTCAGTGAATCGCAGGCAACCGGCATTGAAAACGCACTTGACTCAACACATATTTCTGACGAAGTAGTTGAAGCTGTCCATCCTACAACGAAACACAACAACCATCGTGATAAACAACATACATCGTTTCACCGCCAAGACTTTTACACCTCATCAGAGTGTCGGAATTGTGGGGGGCCCTGGCCCCATAACAACAACATTTGTCCCGCGAAAGGAAAATCTTGTCTGAACTGTGGAAAATCAAACCATTTTGCGAAAGTCTGTCGTAGTGCTCGCAAGGCTCGCGTCGGTCAACAAGAGAATCGAAGGCCTTCAAAAAAATACCACAAAAACAAAGTTCACAAGATTTATGGCAAACCCTCCAGCAGTGAAAGCAGTAGCGAGGATGAATTCATTTTTACTCTGAAACCGACATGTAGAGACAAAACAACTCCACAGGTTCAAATCTCGGTCAACACAACCCCTATCAACATGGTTATCGACACTGGTGCTTCCATCGACATCATCGATGAACTTGCTTTCAACACCTTGCAAAAACAGAGACCCATAGCCCTTCAACGTTCCAAAACACGTATTTTTGCATATGGAGCTACAAACCAGCTACCTGTTATGGGACAATTTCGTGCAACTCTAGAATGTTTGACTGGTGCAACAACCACGCAAGTTCATGTTATCAAAGGAAATTTTGGTTGTTTGCCAAGCTATCAAACGGCATCTGCTTTGGGTCTAATCATGCTGAATGTTAACAATGTGAAACCGGAACATGCCACCCATGAACAACTGATGAAAGAGTATGCCCATCTGTTCAACGGAATTGGCACTCTTAAAAAATTTGAAGTTAAATTGCACATTGATGATACTGTCCCTCCAGTAGCACAAACCCCGTCGTATTCCTTTCCACATGCGGCAAAAGGTCTCAGATGCGCTCGACACGTTAGAAAGTGATGGAATTATTGAAAAAGTATCAGATGCCACTCCTTGGGTCAGTCCATTAGTTGTTATCCCAAAGAAAGATGGTGAGATCAGGCTATGCATTGATATGCGCATGGCTAATCAGGCAATTCAACGCGAAAGACATCCGACCCCAACTGTGGATGATTTAATTCACAAATTAAACGGCGCCACCATATTTACAAAGCTTGATCTTCGCTCGGGATACCACCAGTTATCTCTCGCTGAGGAAAGTCGACACATAACCACATAAGTTGAATTTTGGCACCAATTCGGCAAGTGAAATCTTCCAACATGTAATTAGCGAACAAATCCGTGACATTCCGAATGCCATCAACATTAGTGATGACATAATTATCTTTGGCATAACCCAAGCTGAGCATGACAAAGCTCTTCATGAAATTTTTGAGCGGGTTTCACTCATTGGATTAACCTTCAACAAAGACAAATGTGAGTTCAGTCAATCGCAGCTCACATTTTTTGGTTTTGTCTTCTCAGGTGATGGCATTTCACCGGATCCAGCGAAGGTTTCAGCAATTCACAACTGCCCACCTCCAAATTCAATTAAAGCTGTTCGGAGTTTCCTTGGGATGGTGACATATTGTGCGAAATTTATCCCTAATTTCAGTGATCTCACAGAGCCTTTGCGAGAATTAACGAGAAAAAATGTGCGTTTTTGCTGGACATCTAGGCATGCTAAATCCTTCAACGCAGTAAAAGCTGCCCTCACAAGTGCAACAGTTATGGCATATTTTGATCAAACCAAGGAAACAGAACTTATCACTGATGCATCACTTTTTGGTCTCTCAGCTATTCTGACACAGAAAGTCCCAGGATCAGACCAACGAAATGTTGTTGCATATATCAGTCGTTCGCTGTCGGATGTTGAGAGACGATACTGTCAAACAGAGCGAGAAGCTCTTGCAATTGTGTGGGCAATTAAACGTTTACATATCTATCTATACGGAGGACATTTTACTCTGATAACTGATTGCAAACCAGTCGAGTTGATTTTAAATAATCCACAATCAAGACCTCCAGCCAGAATTGAGAGATGGAATTTACGCTTGCAAGATTATGACTTTAATGTACGGTATACAAAGGGACTTGACAATCCATCAGATTTCCTATCTCGACATTTACCTGTTAACAATACCACTGATGACAGACAGTTCCAAACAATGGCTGACAATTATGTTTGTTTCCTTACCCAACATGCTGTGCCAAGAGCAATGACTCTGCCTGAAATACAACAAGCCACCATGTCTGATTCAACATTACAGATCCTAAGCAACCTCATCACAACAGGTAAATGGCATTTAAGAGACTCTCTAGACGTACAATCCAATCCCAATGTAAAGGTTTTGGACTTGAAAGCATGTGAGAAAATTAAAACAGAACTTACACTAAACGAGCATGATGGAATTATATTACGAGGCTCGCGAATTGTGCTTCCAGAAAGCCTTAGACTAAAGGCTGTTCAAATTGCTCATGAAGGCCACCAAGGGCTAGTAAAAACTAAACAGTTGTTGCGAGAGAAGGTTTGGTATCCAGGTATAGACAAGCTTGCTAAGCACACAGTGGATACTTGTTTGTTATGTCAGGCAAATGGACCAAACAGTCACCAAGAACCACTGCGAATGACGATGCTGCCTCCCCAACCCTGGCATACAGTGAACATTGATTTTTGTGGACCATTTCTAGGTGGTTCATATCTGTTAGTGATTATTGATGCATATTCACGATTTCCAGAGGTGGAAATTGTAAGTTCAACATCTGCAAAATCAACAATATTGAAACTTGAACGAATTTTAGCCAAACATGGTATTCCAAAGGTGTTAAAGAGTGATAACGGTCCACCATTCCAGAGCCATGAATTTAGTCTGTACTTGAAAGAACTCGGCATTAAACATAAACCAAGCTCACCATTATGGCCCCAAGGAAATGGACAAGCCGAGAACTTTATGAAACCACTTGTAAAGGCTGTGAAATCTGCCCATCATGAAAACAAAGATTGGAAACGTGAAATGTTTAAATTTTTGCTCAACTACAGAGCTACCCCCCATTCCACCACTGGCAAGTCACCGTCCGAGTTGCTATACAACCGTAAGATTCAAACAAAATTACCTCAAGTGACAGTCGAAAATGATTCTTCACTTCATCAAGAGGTGAAGGAGAGAGATGAAAGGTTGAAAAAGAACCAAAAAGAATATGCTGATTCCAAAAGAAGAGTTAAGTGTGCTGACATCAAGAAAAGTGATTTAGTTTTGGTGCGGCAACCGAAATCAAATAAAATGTCCACAAAATACGATCCAATACCATATGAAGTCACAAATCGCCGTGGGAACAGGATCACAGCAATTAGGAATGGGAAATATATAACTCGGAACATTTCGTTCTTTAAAAAGTATCACCCCAGACATGGCAGATCGTTGGAGTCAACAGAGATAATGGATGAAGAAAATTATTCCTCAGATGAAGATGTCCACGAAGAGCATGAACAGTATGATGGACTGAGACAGAATAATCGTCCGCGGCAGAACAATGGTCAGAGACAAGATGATGGTCCGAGATATCCGGCGAGAGAAAGACGGGTGTACAGATATGGAAATAACATTTATGATTGACCTGGACTAAAACAGATAAGATACAGTTTAAACATTATATGCATATTTTGTTATAGTTAGTACTAGAGTTCATATTTAAATCAAGGGAGGGATGCAATGTTGACATTATTGACACTAGCACACACGTGACTAGAAAGTTAGTTAAGTATTTTAGAAGCACGAGGCTAGGGAACCGGGAAGTAATTGGATACGTACTATGCTGTTTGTACAAGTTGTTTGATATCTATTGTTATACTTAAAAGTGCTTGATATTAGTACAAAACCACGAACATTACAGGAAAGAGTCTCAACGATGCTATTTTACCTGGCCCGAAATTACAACGCGAGTTGTTCGACGTGTTAATACGGTTCCGTCGTGCTCCGGTGGCTCTCTCAGCTGACATATCAGAGATGTTTCTGCAAGTTCGATTGCGAGAGGAAGATCGTCCTTTTCACCGGTTCATGTGGCGGAGTTTCGAGACTGCATACACAGATGTGTATGAGTTTCAACGCCTTCCGTTCGGAAATACTTCATCGCCATTTTGTGCCCAACACGTACTGCATACGCACGTCCAAGCTCATGGCACAGAGTATCCAAAGGCTGCCGAGACAGTCGACAACTCGATGTACGTGGACGACGTCCTCGATTCGTGTGAGACCACCCAAGAAGCCCAAGTTCTACAAAGTGAACTGTCGGTCGTCTTGCGCAAAGCTGGTTTTAATCTTAGAAAATGGTTGTCTAACGAGCCATCTGTATCGAAAGATGTACCGTTTGAAGATAAATTGGCAAGTCTCCAAATCTAAGATGAGGATCTTCCTGCTCATAAAACGTTGGGAGTACTGTGGAAAGCAGAAGAAGATACATTCACTTTTAAAGTCGACGTACCTGAGACCAAGGGAAACCCAACGAAGAGAAGCGTGTTGAGTGCTATCGCCGCCTTATTCGACCCTCTTCAATTCCTCGCACCGTTCACAGTACGACCGAAAGTCCTGATGCAGGAATTATGGATAGCAGGTATTGGTTGGGACGACGTGTTACCCAGTCAACTTCAAGTGAAATGGAATCAGTGGATCTCGGAACTTCCAGAGCTATCGCAGTTCACGATCCCTCGCTGCTTACGCCAACCAAATCCGAAAGAGACTGACCTGCATGTATTCTCTGATGCCTCTGAGAATGCATATGCAACGGACGCCTATCTCGGGAGTCATTACCCCTCAAAACCACCTACATCCTGCCTCATTGCTGCTAAAAGTCGTGTATCCCCAATCAAAGCTACAACCATTCCTCGACTGGAGCTGATGGGAGCTGTGCTGTCAACTCGAGTCGCGAAAAGCATTACACAAGTTCTCTCAGTTGCAACTGTTACCTTTTGGACGAACTCGACTAACGTTTTATTTTGGGTTCGCAACCAAAGTCGCAGCTTTAAGCCTTTTGTGGCCAACCGAGTGGGTGAAATCCAGAGAACGACAGACCCAACGCAGTGGAGGCATGTTCCCGGAAAGCTTAATCCCGCTGATCTGCCAACCAGAGGTGTCTCCGCCAAAGATCCCATCGAAAGCAAGTTCTGGAAAGAAGGTCTTGAATTCCTGAAAGCGGACGAGTCAACATGGCCAGAAAAACTACCAACGACAGTCGTTGATGAATTCGAGCATGGCGAAGGGAAAAGGGTGTCAAAAACACATCTCACCCAGAGCCCCAACGAAGATACCACGAGCGAAGTTTTTATGCACCCCACAAAGTATTCCAGTTTCCAACGCCTGGTCCGTGTTACAGCGTGAATATTACGGTTTGCAAGGAACTGCAAGTTGTCAAAGGAAAGGAGAGTACTAAGCGCAACACTCGCGCCAGAGGATATCACCGAAGCCGAGACCGTGCGGCTACGAAGAACACAAGCAGAGTTCTTTCCAGATGGAGAGAAACAACAATCGCTAGCACAACTAAATCCGAAGACAGATAAAGACGGACTGTTGCGACTAAACGGTCGTTTACGTTATGCAAATGAGTTACCTTACGATGTCAAACATCCGATTCTTCTTCCGAAAGATCACCCCGTCACCAGGCTTGTTATCGCCTACGAACACTCCAAACTCGGTCACGGCACTGGTACAGAGCACCTTCTAGCAGAGTTACGAACGAGGTTTTGGATCGTTAAAGGACGACGAGCGGTGAGAAACGTCGTGAAACCCCGCTTCCAGAAGCAAGATTGAAACTGCTCCTCCGAGCATTCGAGCGTGTGGGAGTAGACTACGGAGGTCCCTTTCTCACAAAACAAGGACGACGAAAAGCGAAAGCCAAACGGTATCTGTGCCTATTTACCTGCCTCAACACTCGCGCGGTACACCTCGAAATGGCGTATTCTCTAGACACGGATTCGTTCATTAATGCTTTTATCCGGATGACTGCAAGGAGGGGGACACCAACGTACGTCGTATCGGACAACGGAACGAACTTTGTCGGTGCGGAAAGAGAATTACGTGAGCTGTTAGAAAAGTTCGACCAAGACAAAATCATCAATGCAACAACGCGACCGCATCACAGCATCGAATGGAAGTTCAACCCCCCATCAGCGCCGCACTTTAGAGGGGTGTTCGAAGCGATGATCAAGAGTAGCAAGAAGGCGATGAGAGCAATCCTTGGCGACGCAAGTGTTACAGACGAATAGCTTCACACAGCTATCGTTGGAGCCGAAGGTCAACTTAACTCTCGTCCGATTACGTACGTTAGTTCTGATGCAAACGACCTTTCTCCACTGACCCCGAACCATTTCATTGTAGGACAGCTCGGGGGACAATATGCACCAGAAGCTTTAGACGTCGACGAAGCCTGCAATCCACAGAAACGGTGGCTTCGCGTTCAGCAATTACTCGGCCAGTTCTGGGCCCGCTGGAGAAAAGAATTTCTGCCAAACCTCAACACACGTGGAAAGTGGTATCATCCTCGACGAAATATGAAAGAAGGAGACGTGGTATTGCTCATGGATCCCAAAGATAGACGTGGAGAATGGCCCTTGGGACGCGTCACTGAAGTTCACCCGGGGAAAGACGGGTTAATTCGCGTAGTTAAAGTCAAAGTTGGCGAAAGTATTTACGAACGTCCAGTACATCGATTGTGCCCACTTGAAAGTGATGATTGAAGAATCTGAGACATTAATCTAGAGTAAACGAACTGGACTTAATTAAAGCGAACACTTCGTATTCCGGGGGGGGGATGTTTTGGAACTTTATGACGTTTGTTTGTTTTTATTTCCGGTTTATTGACATTGAGTAGTTTTGGGTTACCTATGCATTAGGCGCGCAAAGGACACTTGGGAGAAGTCGACGACGAGCATAAAACGTTAAAAGTTTCGTATTATTTGGGACTTTTTTAGTCTTTTTTTCGAATATTGAAATCTGTTAAATAAATTGTTTATAAATCCAGCGTGTCTGTTCTGTTTTGAGAACACCTTCCTTTTCCCGAGCCTCGTCGTGACGGTTAACGAGATTGCGTTTTTGTAAAATAGGAAGTTTTCCTTGAACTTGGCGATTAAATAACAGTTCAGAGGGTGGAACACCAGTGGTACAATGCGGTGTGGTGCGATAGTGCAACAGGAAACGACTTAGCTCTTGTTTTCTTGGACGACCGTCAAGTTTGGCAGCTTTCAGGGATTTGCCCAAGGGTTGCATGAAGCGTTCTACCTCAGCGTTGCCTTGGGGCGATTTGGGAGTAGAGAAGATTGCCTTTATTCCAAGGGCAGTGAGATAGCGTTGGTATTCTTCGCCATTGAAAGGGGGACCATTGTCGCTTTTGAGAAGGGTAGGAATGCCATGAACTGCAAAGATCTTGTCGAGTTTTGGTATCACAGTAGAGGCTCTCGTGCAGTGGACAATTTCGACCTTTGGAAACCGAGAATATCTATCTACAACGACAAGAAGGTATTCTCCAGTGGGTAGAGGACCATAGAAGTCGACAAGAACAGTTTGCCAAGGTTCATCAGGCATGGTGGTGGGGGTGATTGGTGCTGGTGGGCCGGGTTGGCCAAGGGCTTGGCAAGTTAAACAGCGATCAAGAGTTGTTTTAACCATGGCGTCGATATTCGGGAACCAGATGTTTTCGCGAATTAATGCTTTGGTTTTGGTTAGACCAAGGTGCGTCTCGTGGGCGATGTCGATCGCGCGTTGTTGTAAAGCTTGGGGGATGACAATTCGATGTCCACGCAGGATAATGCCGTTGTTAAGTTGGTGACTGTTTGATGTGTTTGAATGACGTCAGAATGTCGGTGGACCACTTGTTTGTACGTAAACAAGTCACGAGCGTGGACAGAGTCTTATCTGCACGTGTAGCTGTGGCAATTTCGTCGAGTGGCATGGCGCGGGGGGCAGTGTGTCGTTCAATGAAGTTGACATATTCTTCAGCCATGCGATCCGGGTGTGACATGCGTGGTGATGCAGGATGACGTGATAAATAATCAGCGGGGTTGGTGGCACCAGGTTTGTAGATAACGTTAAAGTGGTACGGTTGTAATCGCAGAACCCAACGTTCTATACGTGCAGACGGTTTCGACCTGGTGGTGCCGTAAATGATTTCAAGGGGTTTGTGGTCGGTTACCAACGTAAAATGATGTCCAAACAGGAACATGTGGAAATGTTCGACAGCCCAGACGATAGCGAGGGCTTCTCGTTCGGTTTGGGAGTAACGTGTTTCGACGGGCGATAAGGCACGACTGGCGTAAGCAATGAATTAGGAATTTGCGACATTTGGCGATTTTTGTGAGAGGATAGCCGATACCCCGACAGGGTTCGCGTCGACGACAACAAAGGTTTCTTTATGGATGTCGAAATACGCCATGCATGGGGCTGACGTTAGAGCGGCTTTCAGGTTGTCGAACGCGTTTTTATGTACCGTGGTGCACACAAATGGTGTGTCGTTTTTCGTTAAGAGACGGAGGGGGGCAGTGATTGTTGAAAAGTTGGGGATGCATTGACTGCTGTAGTTCGCCATACCAAGAAGGCTTCGAACTTCTTGGACTGTGGTGGGTGTGGCCACATTCTGGAGGTCGACGACTCGTTGAGGGTCCGGTCGCGTGCCATCGGCAGAGAAGATTTGACCGAAAAATTCCAATGTGGGATTCAATAATTTACATTTACTGGCGTTGAGGGTCAATCCTCGGTTTGTTAGACGTTGTAGGCACTTGTCTAGATTTTCCTCGTGTTCCTTGCGAGTACTTCCATAAACGATAATATCGTCGGTTATGTTCTTGACCCCGATGAGTCCTTGTAATTGTGTCTGAAGCGTGTATTGGAAAATCTTGGCGGCAGCGTTTGTCCCATAATTTAAAGTTTATAGCGATATAGCCCGATGTGTGTACTAAATGTGGTGATATGTCGGCTTTTCGGATCGAGTTCGAGTTGGTGGTACGCCTGGGATAAGTCCAATTTCGAGAAATATTTCGCGCCGTTCAGTTCAAATCTTACGTCATCAACCGTAGGTATCGGGTGTCGGACCCTTTTGATCGCCTCATTCGCTTGTCTCATGTCAACACAAATACGCACTCCTCCGTCTTTTTTTGGCACGGCGACAATAGGAGAAACCCAGGGGGTTGGTTCATCTTCAGGCACTCATCTTCAAGCACTCACTTCGATTATGTCGTCTTTTTCAAGGGTTATCAGACACATACTTGTTGGCTTGTGTTTTTGGGCTAATTTAATATATGTATTGCACATCATTTCTTCTGGCAAGCAAGATGATGGATCAAACACCGATTACAGATTGTTATATTTCAAAATCAAGAGCTCGCTATCAAACGTAAACCCTGATGGAAACGGATTGTACTGGTGTTTTGGTCAAGACCGGCTATTGAGAAGCCATCTTGCTCTGGGAGTTAAGCATGCTTACTGCCTTAACTTTGACAAAATTGACTCAAACGCAGTTTTACATGTCGCCCTTCTACTTATCTCGGGCGATGTTGCAACAAATCCTGGCCCGACCCAAACAACATCTGCAGATATTAGTTTTCAATCTTGTTCTAATCAAAACATTGGTCAGATTTGGCAAGGGAAAAATCTGTCTGTGTTATATGCTAATGCACGTAGCATTGTAAACACAACAGACAAACTGTGTCTGGAAATCCATAGCGGGCAGTTCGATATTGTCGTATTAACTGAAACACATCTGGACAATACCATAGTCGATTCAGAAATTTTCCCACCGAATTTTATAGTATTTAGACGTGATCGTCAGCACCTTGGTCGTCACGGTGGCGGAGTCTTAATAGCGACTAAAAACACGCTTAAAGTCCATCACAGAGACGATATCACATGTATAGCAGAGTTACTGTTTGTAGATATTTTACTTCATAGAAACAAGAAATTGACAATTGGTGTTTTCTATAGACCGCCAAATAGAGAATGGCAGCCTTTGGAAGAATTAAACCAAATTCTTAGTGAAATTTCTAGGTCTGATATAATACTTTTAGGAGACTTTAACATAAGCGATATCAACTGGAACAATATAAGTCCCCAGAGTGATTCTTTATTGGAAAATCTTCTGATAGATATTGTTCATGAACATTTTTTCAGTCAATTAGTAAATGAACCGACAAGAGGGTCAAACATTCTTGACCTTGTCTTAACAACATCAACCGACCATATACAAGACGTTCAGGTGGGCGAACCTTTTTCAGATCACAACTTAATCACTTTTAAAATTAGTTGTAAGCCGTACGAGAATAGACAATCCCGCAAACAATATTATTCTTATAAGAAAGCAGACTGGGACAGCTTAAGAAACCTTCTTTTATATGCCCCATGGGAACTTTCTCTGGCCGACAATAATACGAACGTTTGTTGGCAAACATGGAAAGATCTCTTTCTAGCGGCCGTGGACGATTGCATACCAAAAGCCAATGTAGCGAAAAATAAACAAAATGCGCCTTGGATAACTCGGGAACTAATTTCACTATGTAGGAAAAAGAAGGCTGCGTATAAAAAAGCGAGAAAGTCCGGAAAAAATCGTGACTGGCTATATTATAAAAAATTAAACTCGATGGTTAAACGAAAGTGCAACTTAGCTCGACAGTCGTACGTAGATGATTTGATAGAAGAACTAAAAGTGAATAACGCCAAACCCTTTTGGAAATATGTAAATTCGAAGCGCAAAGGTACTAACAATTTAGTATTATTAAAAGTGGCTGATAGAGAAATTACTAACGACATGGAAATTGCTGAAAGTATGAACACTTACTTCTCTTCTGTGTTTACAGACGAAACTTATGACAACTTTCCCACCGTAAACCGTATATTAAATGAGGAGTTGACGGATGTTCAATGCACAATTGAAGAAGTCGAAAGACACTTAAAAACGTTAAATGTTTGTAAATCCTCTGGACCGGACAATATCCCACCGCAAATATTAAAAGAATGCGCCTCTCAACTAGCACCATCATTAGCGAACCTGTTTAATAAATCCTTTTCCTCGGGTATGCTCCCCCAAGACTGGAAACTAGCTAATATTGCTCCAATTCACAAAAAGAATTCGAAATGCAAGAGAGAAAACTACCGACAAATCTCACTAACATCTATTATATCTAAGATAGCAGAAAAGATTGTTCGGGATAGATCAGTTGAATTTTGGCTCAGTCGGAAAGTATTTAATGAAAATCAATTTGGATATCTCAAGAACAAGTCTACTTTATCCCAATTATTGTTATGCTACAACGACTGGGCAAAGACTAGAAACGATACAAAAGCAACCGATGTTGTTTTTATGGACTTCAGTAAAGCGTTTGACAGCGTGCCACACGAACGTCTGCTGTATAAGTTGGAACAGCACGGTATTGGAGGGGCTTTACTGAAATGGTTTAGAAACTTTCTTACAAATCGTCAACAACGAGTAGTAGTTCGGGGATCGTATTCGAAATGGACCAATGTAACATCAGGGGTACCACAGGGAACAATTTTAGGACCTATTTTGTTTTTAATTTATATTAACGATCTCCCGAATGAAATTGTAAGTCACGTCAAGCTGTTTGCAGATGATACAAAAGTGTAACGTAAGCTATCGGACCCAGAGAACGACGGGGAAATACTTCAGTCAGACTTGAACCGTATGAGTGAGTGGACAAATTTGTGGCAATTGAGCTTCAATCTTGATAAGTGCGAAGTTATGCGGATAACTCATCATAAAGATAAATCAATACCCGAATACTACTTGTCTGACAAGAAACTAAAAGTGGTGAACGAATTTAAAGATCTAGGCGTAATTGTATCTAGTGATCTATCATGGAGTAATCAGGTTGCCTCGACAGTTAATAAAGCTAACCGCATTGTTGGTTTAATTAAACGGACTATCGGTTTTTCAAGTACGAGCATTTTTTCCACATTATACAAATCCTTGGTGAGATCTGTCTTGGAATACGCAGCGCCAGTTTGGTCGCCATATCTCACGTCGGTTAAAGACGTGAAAGCCCTAGAACGTGTTCAAAGAAGAGCATCGAGAATTGCTCTGAAACAGAAACGAGGCGAAATGCCATACAACGAACGTTGTAAATTGCTAAAATGGGACACACAAGAAAAACGTAGAAAGTTTCTTTCCCTTGTAGAGTGCTACAAGATTAATTGTTACAAATACTCATTATTTGTAAGGATTATCAGTGACTGGAACAGTTTACCATGCTCGGTTGTAGAAGTAAATAACATTAGAGAATTTAAAAGAGAACTGAAGTCGAACATGGACATGTACTTGCATGTAATTTAACATTTAGGTATTTTAACTTAGTAATAGGTAACGGTGATCTTTATATAGGGTTAACCTCCAGATCTCCTGCAAGGGCCTCAATATTATTGAAGGTACTTTCAATAAATAAATTATTGATTGATTGATATGATTGCATCTTTAACTTTGTTTCGGATATGGTAAGGGGCGGACCATTAGAAATCCCGGGAGGGGGGGTGAAAATTCCCCCAAAAAAATTCGTGCAAAGAAAAATGCCTGGGAAAAAAATTCGTGCAGCCATTGCGTCATAGAAAAAAAATTCGTGCAAGCAAACAGCAAAGTACAAGTAGTCTTGAAAAAAAATTCGTGCAGAGGTTAAATGCATTAAAAAAAATTCCTGCAGAGACACGAGACTGAAAAAAAATTCGTGCCGCAAAAATTTTATACCCCACCCCCCGGGATTTCTAATGGTCCGCCCCTAAGGGATGCGGCGCTGTGGTTGAGCTTTAGGATTAGCATTGGGATCAATGTTTAGGTGGACGGTCTGTCCTTTCAGTTTTCCCAATCCGTCGAAAACTTTGGCATTTCTCTCGAGAATGTCATTGAGTTTGGGATCTTTATTAGGATTTTGCGGCAAAGGTTTGGAAATGTTGTTGAGGTGAAGACTGACGAGATCCAGTTCTTGGGCTGTTGACAAGGATAAGAGGTTTCCGCTTGTTGAACCCTGTGCGACATAAAAGGTCGCCGCGGTAATTTTCCGGCGCGTTTTCCGGCGCGTTTGTAAACACGAAAGCATTTGCGTACAACTCTACAACCCCGTAAACTTCCCAAGGAACGGTACCGGGGTTGTAGAGTTGTACGCAAATGCTTTCGTCGTTGTCTTTTGTAGAGAGATACCGCGCAAAGTCTGATATGTGCGTTCATCGATCACATTTATAGTTGCGCCTGTGTCAACTATTGTGCTAAACGAATGGCCACCCACTGTGACGTTAACTCGAGGGCTTTTATCGAGGCTGTGAATTCCGTACATATAATCGTCGTCTGAGTCACCGGTGGTGTAATGCTCGAGGGGTCGTATCGGGTTTCGTGTGGCGTTGCTATGGTAATTCTGAGTGGAGCCTTGCTGTGCGAGACTGCCACTTGGTTGTGCAATAGGTCTGCTTCGACAAACGCTTTGAAAATGGTTAATAAGTTTGTCACACTTTCGACACTGTTTGCCTTTCGCGGGGCATAGACCTTTGTGAGGAAAAGATCCACCACAATTGCGACATCCCGTCGGTCTGTAGAGAGCGTTAATTTCGTCAAAGGTGCTCGTTGCGCTGTCGGGCGATGTCGATTCGATGTCTTTAGCTTGGAAAGCGCTCTGTTCGTCTCGGCGGCCTACTAAGAGCATGGCAGCTAAATTAAAACTTGGATCACGCAACGCACGTTTGTGGATTTTCGAAGAGGCCCCTCCAATAATTATTTGTTCTTCGAGTTCGAAATCTGGCGATGCGAACTCGCAAGTTTGGGCTAAAGTTCGAAGCCGTGTGTGAAACTGATCGAGAGTTTCCCTTGGTTCTTGCACAGCCTTTCGAAATCGATACACCTCGTAGCGTCTGTTTTTCTGCGGTTCGAAATGGGCAAGTAATTTCGCTTTGGCAATATCATAGTCTTTGTCTTCGCCAGTGTCAGGCAGTTGTTTAAAGATTTCGCGCACTCTTGCGCCAGCTTGGTATAGCAACAAAGCTCGTTGTCGTTTAGGATCTGTAACGCCACTAGCCAGGAGAAACATGTCAAAGTCTGCGACCCAGTTTTTCCAACGTGTAGCGACGCTCGCGCCAAGTTCAGCGTCGGGATTAAACTCGGGCATTGGGCGAATAGGTACTGAATGTGCCATGCTGACTGTTGTTGGATTGTTAGGTTGTTGTTCCATAAAATTTACTCCTCGTCGCCAATGTAATATCTAAGTACTAGGTATATATTTGTGCTATAGAATATATTTAGTATAACATAACGATATAGTTCTTATTGGTGTTTTAGTGTGTGTGTGTCTTCTACACAACGTGTCCTATATATATATATTTAATTAGTTCCGACCGTATAGTCCTGGTGCCGAGTGAATGACATGACGTCATTACTATAGTTACGATGGGTTAGGAGCTCACGAGATTGTATTTAAACTGGGTTGTTGTTAATTTGGAAAGATGAGGCCGTTTTTTTATATATCGTCAAATTAAGGAGCAAGTCAACATTTATACTACTGATAAGTATACTAGTTATAACTTACATAGCCAACTATATTAGATTAAGAGTCGTCTATATTAAATTAAGAAGCTTTTTAACAGCAACTAGTAAATTTGATTACATTTCAGGGACTCTGGGAGGTCTCAGATTTCAAAATTTCCCGGGGGAGCATGCCCTCGGACCTTCCTAACAAACTCACGCCTTCGGCGTTCGCTATAGCCCCCTTAATAAAAAAATAGTTCCGCGGTCCCTGAATTTAGTTGACCTCCATCGGAAATTTTACGAGCTTCCATGGATAGCATGTGGTCTGTACAAGCTCGTTCGTCAGTCGGTTGAAATGACCTTACACCCCCCTGAAAATTTCCTGAGGACGGCCCTGTCAGTATGCGAGGCCTTTTGCTAAAATTGCTTGTTTTTCACCTTAATTTTCTCATATGTACAGGCAGGGTTTATTTTAAGAAAAATTTAGAAAGAAAAATTTAGAACTGCACATATAGGGATGTTAGTGATGTTACGAAAGCAACGGGTGTTTGACTGGGGGGAAGGGGTTAAAGGATTTTTTACCAGCATATAGGTGACAGAATAACGGTGTGGTTGGGTGGGAGAAAAGCCAGACAAACTCGATTTGGGGTGCAATTTAAGAGCTAGGGGGTGTTCCCCAAAACAATTTGAATCTAGAGGCTCTTAAGTTCCTGCAAAGTTTTGTTTTACCCAACCACTCGCAAAAACTGTTTCAAAACATGTAACTGGGAATCATGGATATTCAATATACATATAACAACCTTAAATTTGCATTTCAGGCAGCAAAGAATATTAGGTTCTCCCACTCTAATCTCTTTTGGAGAGCTTCACTCGCCCCAATTTTACGTTTTTTTCCATTACACAGCACGTAAGTGACTTGTGAGGAAAATAGGAGAGGTCTGCAGTCCTCCCCTAGAAAACGTTTATGTTTTTGATGCTCAATGACAGCATTTCTGGAATTTTCTGGAGCATCCACAAGGGTAACGAGTAAATGAGAAGATTGTTCTAAGGCTATTTTGTTAGTTTGGTGACTGCACATTTGTGTTTTAAGAACTGCACAAATGGGTTTAGAACTGCACATTTTGTGTGGAACTGCACGTTAAAATAAACCCTGTATACATGTTGTGCAAACAAAATTTTATCAGGTCAGAAGATGTGCTTTTCTTTCTAGTTTAGGCTAAGAGAATGAAAACTCACTTAAAAAATGAAGAAAGCACTGAATTTTGGCAAATTTCATGTGCAAGTGTAATTTGTACGAAAAAGGCGACTCAGAAAATGAGCATCAGAATAAGCATTTTGCCATCGTTCAAAATTCTATAAACACGAATTTTGTCATGTTTACAGGTTGTGCCAACGAAATATCGATGTTTTACATTAAGTTTCAAAGCAATTTGAAGTCGGTGTTAAATTTCTTGGCCGAAATATGTAGAAGTGTTAGTCAGTTTTTTTAGTTTGAATTTCACATTTTTGAAGCTATCAGACGACATTTTAAAAGGAAATTTTTTGCTCTGTTTTGTTTTGCACTGAAATAATCGATATTAATAGTTAATCTAATCGATATTAATAGTTAATCGATATTAATAGTTAGTTAGTTTTCTTTATTACCACAATAGATATTGTGGTAATAGAGGAAATCAAAGTATTAATCCAACTCTTTTTTTAGTTAATCCAATTTTTCTGGCGATTTGTGGCCTAAATGGCTGCAAAATTGTCTTTCGAAGGCTTCGTTCATGTTGTTTATGTTTTTAAATCAACCAAGTGGAAGCACGCATATCTTCTTCTTCCGCTGAAAACCCAAGCAGTTTTTGCGCATGCTCAGACAATTTTCCCACCTGTTGCAGGAATATAAATAAGGTGAACGGTCCATGCACTGTATTATACCACACTTTAAGGCCCATAGAGACCGAACGCGACGCGAATTCTCAGTTTTTAAAAACAAATACGGACAAATATTTTACAAGATATGCCGACCAAATAGCTAACGTTGGTTAAGTGGTTCCGAATATTTGAAAAACATAGAAAAATATTAAAGTTAAATGCCATTGAAAATTGAAAATTCGCGTCAGGTCTGTATGGGCCTTAAGTTAAGGCAAAACTAATTGTTTTTTGAGCAATTTTTTGCCCTTAAAAAGATCGAACAGTTGATTCAGTTGAATATTTTCTTATGCACAGTCTAAAATTTATCCCGACACACGAGAACGCGCAACTTGGATGCGTATGGTCGAGTCTCTGCAGATTTGCCTATTTCATAACCTGAGTATCAGGCCGTACTTTTTAGGGCACAGGCACGCCTGATCGTGGGCGAAGGGGAGAAAAGTACGGCCTGACACAAAAGTGGCATTTTGCCTGGTTTGTTCAGTCCAGAATCTGGACTGAGCGCTGATTGGCCGATTAGACAAACGATTTTTAAATCTGTCATTTGATTGGCTGGTGCTAATTAGATTATACTATTGTTGTTGATATATTTTATAACGATCACAACTACAATTATAGCCGGCCCACTAAACGGCTGAATTTAAATTAAAACTGCAGTAAAATTAGAAAATAATCACAAATTAGCGAAATATATTACAAATGTAGCTTATATTAAATCGCCATCAGATTGCACTATCGACTGACGTATAGTTATAAAGTATACTTTATAATTATACGTCAGTTTGTTGACAAATACGGCAAGCGCCATGTAAAGCTCATTGTAGTCACTGAAACTTCTGCGGAGGAGAGAGCAATCGGGTGGCGATTTAATATAAGCTACATTTGCAATATATTTCGATAATTTGTGATTATTTTTGTTAATTTTATAAGTTCATTGCAGTTTTAATTTAAATTCAGCCGTTTAGTGGGCTGCCTATGCTATAATTAGATTGTTGTTGTCGTTGTGTGAAATTTAAATTTCTCCTGCGACATTTTGATTGGATACTAAATATAAACTTTGCTGTGGGCGGAAAGCGATCAGGTTAAGTTTTGTGTCAGGCTCTATTTGTAAAATAGAGCCTGATACTCAGGTTACCTATTTCAAACCCTCTAGCTCTTATTATTTTGTTAAATGATGTAGTACTTACATGATGTCATTGGCGTTGTAAAATGATCTAATCATGAATGGATCAGATTTTCTCTATATTAAATAATAAATTGGAAAAATAGAAAAAATATAAAATTTCACTTCATAATAACATGGTTTATTACCTAAATATAATACTTTATCTATTTAACAAATAGATTACATTTTGCCGTTGTTTGTTCAGTTATAGATACACAATATGACGTCATAATGCGGGAAGAACAAAAAAGTGGCTCACGAGCCGTCTTGTTTTATACAACGAAAAGAAAACCCCGAATTAAACAGGTAAATAGCTTACTTTTTATCCAAATGTAAATTTGAAAAAGTCGAAATTTTACAAATATTACGCGTACATGATCTATACAAATAAGAGAATGCTATTGGATAAGGTTTTGTTTGACGTATTCAGTGCGCCTGTCCTCTAATAGATAATGGCTATGTTATTATATGAAAGCAATTATAAAATAACATGTATATAACGCGTGCTCTGATTGGTCGAAACTTGTGTTTGGATTAGGCCATCCAACTGATGGAAAATTTAAAGTGAAAGTTTTTAAAGTGAAATTTTAAAACGGAAAGTTGTTATTTTATAAAACAATTACTTTATGTTTAAAGTTTGTTCGTTCACTGCAACCAGGTATATCAATCATGTTTCTCTCGCTACTCTGGTTTAAATAAATGATTACAAAGCCCAGTCGAATTGTAATCAAGACCCAACGTTTCGACACTCCAGTCTAGTGTCTTCATCAGGGGTGATCTAAAATTGCAATCGTGGCTTCTTAAATACCCAAGGGATGACGCCACCTGCCAATGAGATGCATATATTCCTCTGGCAAATAGGCACCGTCATCCCTATTCAAAGCATGATCGATTAATAACATGTATATAACGCGTGCTCTGATTGGTCGAAACCTGTGTTTGGATTAGGCCATCCAACTGATGGAAAATTTAAAGTGAAAGTTTTTAAAGTGAAATTTTAAAACGGAAAGTTGTTATTTTATAAAACAATTACTTTATGTTTAAAGTTTGTTCGTTCACTGCAACCAGGTATATCAATCATGTTTCTCTCGCTACTCTGGTTTAAATAAATGATTACAAAGCCCAGTCGAATTGTAATCAAGACCCAACGTTTCGACACTCCAGTCTAGTGTCTTCATCAGGGGTGATCTAAAATTGCAATCGTGGCTTCTTAAATACCCAAGGGATGACGCCACCTGCCAATGAGATGCATATATTCCTCTGGCAAATAGGCACCGTCATCCCTATTCAAAGCATGATCGATTACTCATATTTATATGATTGCGTGGGAAAACTCTAAAGTAATTACCACAAACAATCGCTATGGTCAAAGACTTTGCCTAGAAGCGTGGCATATAAATATGAGTAATCATGCTTTGAATAGGGATGATATATATTTTTATTTACAAACAGTTTATTTAGGTTTTTATTTCATTTTATGTTCTTGCAAAGCTTGATTGTTGTCTCTTGATAATTTAGTATACTCTAGAATCATAAAAATATACTAGTTGTCGAATAAAATTCAATATTTTGGATACCGAAATGTAAACAAAGCCTTTGTTTACATACGGACTGTACCGCATCTTTAA